CCCATGTCAACCATCCTATTGTATATAACTTATGCCACTATTAATGGCCTACATCCCTTATAAATTAGATTGATGTTTATTTGATTTTTTCTCTTTATATAAAAAATGAGTTTTTTAATATTCATGAGGCTCATGTCAATTTTGGCTTCTATGGATGTGTTGATTCAAACTTGCCACTTCAGCTTTGATTGGGAAATCTAATTGTTGTGCGAAAGTCCATCCTATTTTTTGTTGACCTTTATACATACTCCATATTTAATCCAGGTGAATATGACTACGTCAATGAAGGATAAGCATATTATAGTATAAGTCTAGGTTGAAATGTCTTTTAATGTATAAAAAATTACATAAAAATTGGCTATTTACAAAGTGGATTTCAAAGCGGTAGGAGCATCAAAATTAGTAAAAAATGACCCCCACATTAGATTCAATCTAACATAACAAAAATGATGGGCAATGAATACGGTACACACAAGTGCAACTTGAAATGCATCGAACTAATCACAGTTGACAAAATGTCGCTTCTTTTGGAAAATGGACTCTAACCCATTTAAAGCATAAAAAATACCTAGAAAAGACCACTCACTTCGTTGAATCAGTATCCGGCAAGAAAATTCGATAATGGGCCCAATAATGAGCAAAAGTGCACAATCGTCGTCAATATTGTGAAATGGACTATGTCAACGCTAAACGTCTAAAATATATGGGTTAGATACCCATAACACCCCCTCCATGGCATGAAATGAAACTCTTAAAAAATGCGAAGAATTAATATACATTTATGTAAAAAAGTTTAATTTAACTTAAAAAAGAAGAGAAAAATTAGAATAGATATTTTGCTTACAACAATAACAACAAGCCTTTACGCACTAAGTGGGGTCGGCTATATGAATCCTTTTTCTCCGTAGCTGCCTATTGAGTGTCATATTTTCAGTTAATTCTAATAGATTAAGATAATTTTTTATACAATATGCAAGTCTTTTTAAGTCTTCCTTTGCCTTTTTTAACATGAGTCGAATCTAAAATATCTACTCTACTTACCGGATCAACAGATGATCAACGCTTAATGTGACCAAACCATCTAAGACGACTCTCTAATCTTGTTTGTCACTGGAGCTACACCAACCCAATCACATATATGTTCATTTTGCATTTTGTCTCTAAGTGTCAAGCCACTCATCCACCTAAGCATTCTCATCTCAACAACACTTAACTTTGTTTTATGTTTTATCTTTTAATGGCAATATTCTGCGCTATATAGCATTTTGCAACTCTCACCACCATTTTATAAAATTTTCCTTCAAGTCTAAGCAATACTTTTCTATGACACAATAGGCATGATGCATTTCTCCACTTTAACCAACCAAAATTCTAATAATAACATCCCCATTACTTTGAACTGTAGACCTGAGATATCTAAAACGTTGACACCTTTTAATGATTTGATCGCCCATAGTTACAACTCCGCCACTTGAGCTATTACTACGAAAATTACATTTCATGTATTCAATTTTAGATCTACTCGAACAAGGCCTTTAGACTCCAATGTAAACTTCCATAATTCAAGTTTTTTCTGAACTCTTTCTCTACTCTTATCCACATTATCCACAAGAAGAATATCATCAGCGAAAAACATACACCAAGGTGCATCCTCCTATAAATATCCATTAAGAGTCGAGCATCCATAAGCATCCATAACTAAAACAAAATGATATGGGCTTAAAGCCAATCCTAATCCAAATGAAATAGGAAAATACTTGTTCAATCCTTCTGTTCTAACACAACTAACAGTTCTAGTAGACATATCTTTAATGACTTGAGTATAAGTCATATCAACACCTTACTTCTCTAGAATTCTCCAAAGGACTTTGCTTGGAACTTTGTCGTAAGCTCTTTCTAAATCAATAAAAATCATATATAGATATTTCTTACTCTCTATGTACTTTTCCATCAAATTTCACAATAAACAAAATATCTAGCACTATCACAGCCGGGTTCCAAGCCCTTGATGCGATAAGTGGAGGGTTGGGTAATGCGTTAGGTAGTCGACGACCAACATAAAAATTTTTTCGAAAAATCATGACATGAAACCTTTAGATTAGATATTTTGTTTAAAGCAAGTGATATTATATAGCTACATGAACACACAATAAATTAAAATTTTTGTATGTATAATCTTTAGACTAAAAAATTGGGGGTTTTCAAGCCAAATTCCTACACGAAGATGGTGAAGGAATGGCTCTCAAGATAAACCAACCTCTAAAGCTTGTTAACTCCAAGTTGATAGAGACCTTGATGATTGAGATGTCCTTTTTAATTAACTGTATTACTTCATTATATTCAATCCAGATGATACATTTAAATAATTCCAATCATTTTATTCCAGACGAGTCCAAATTCCTACGGGTCAACCACAGTGTCCAACTATGCCACATGTTATATTAAATTGGACTAGTTTTCAAGTCTTTTTAGGCCTTTCATTAATTTTGGCCAATTCTTTCTTTGTTTTTGTTTTCATTTAGATCCATTTTAAAAAGGATGAGGTGGATCTCATCCTTAATGTAGGCTTGCTTGTCCATTATAAATAGTTTAGATTTTATGGATTTTCGGATATTGATTTAAGCTTGTAAGGCCATTAATTCTTTCTTCTCACTGATTGAAGTTGTGAACGTAGATCACTCCAAGTTTTGTAAGTGGAGTTCTTGTGAATGTGGAGTTAAGCTCTTTTTCCTTTGAAGAAATCCCATGAACATTTCCTTGTTTCCTTCAAGAATTCTTAATCATTATCCCTACCCAATAAATACCATAAAGAAGTCTCAAGAAAATCAAAGACACCTATCTATTCTCAAATCTCCATGGCCTGAATTGTGATAATGAAAATGAGAAATTTGATAACCCATCTGAAGTGGAGTGAAGAGAGAGGTGAAGAGAGAAGTGAAGAGAGAGAGGGGGAAGAATAGCTTCAATCAAAAAAGGGTTTGAGAGAAGCGACCCTAGAAAACATGCCTAAAGGAAGAAGCCATACTAGGATGAGAAAGAAGGGGGAATATGTGTGGGCCAATTCTTGGTTTAGATTAAACCAATATTTATTCCATTCATCATAGTAAGCTCTAAGGTCCTTACAGAAAAAATAGTTTGGGAATAATTACATAATGAACCTAATCAATATAAATTCTAAAAAAATTACTTCCCAAAAAAGAAATTTTATAATGTTATTAATTGCATCAACAAATAAAACCAAAATGATAATCAATGTCATTGGTGATGCATGCATCTCGGAACTATCACTGGCACAGTTTCTTATTTGTAACCTTAAGTTCGTTATCTGTTAATTTTTCACTCCATTACATCATTTATCTTAATAGAGATCTCGCCTATTTGAATCCCATGTTTTGCAAATGCCATATGCCATGGTAACTTGGTTTTAATACCCTTTTATAAGTGCTCTATACAACAACAAGAACAACATCCACAAGCCTTTATCCCCCAATTATAAGCTTCTCTATAACCAAAACAAATTTAGAAGGATGTATTGTTGATCCTTAGTGTAGCCCTATTGATTGAGACCTTTTCAGCATACGCCTCACGACTATTTCTACTTTTATTCAATGCTCCATCATACACCAGCGAAGCGAAGCATCTATAATGAACTGAATATTTTTCAATAAAATTGAGAAATTGTGGTCTAAAAATCAAAATCAATGATTTTATTGCAGGTTGAGCATGTACATAAGTACATAAAACAATCTCAAAGAGGATTGCAACATGAATTTTTAATTTTTTCCTATAGAAGAAAAGCATAAAACTAAGTTAAATGTTGTTGAGATGAGAATGCTTAGGTGGATAAATGGCTTGACTCTTAGAGACAACACGAAACAAATGTATCAGTGAAAGGGTTGGTGTAGCTCCGGAGGCAGACAAGATTAGAGTGAGTCATCTCAGATGGTTTGGTCACATTAAACGTTGACTATCTGATGTTCCGGTTATGAGAGTAGATGTTTTACATTTGACTTATGTTAAGAAAGCCAGAGGTAGACCTAAAAAGAGTTGGGCATGTTGTATAAAAATTGATCTTAATTTATTTTGATCTTAATTTATATTTATTAGAATTAAATGAAAATATGACACTCAATAGGACACAATGGAGAAAAAGGATTCATATTGCCAACCACACTAAGTTGGATAAAGGCTTGTTGTTGTTACTTTGAAAACCTCAAGATTTTGTGATTTTTGGAGAACACCATGATGGTGGCATGTTGAGGGTAACACTTGGATGGGCTTACAGGCTTTATCCAAGTGACTTCAAAATTTTAGAGCTCAAACAATTAAGCTAGGGCCTGAAATAGTTATCCTTACACTTGATTCATATATCTCACTAGGTCGATGCTTTTAACGGGTTTTGACTTGCAAAATGGACCATTGTGTGTAAACACAATGATATAGGGAAGTCTTTGAGATAGCTGTCTGCTGATAGCTCAGGAAAAGGCAACGCCTCCCTTTGAAGCCTGCTCTATATGAGGCTGAAATTTAGTAGGGGCGCAACCAAGGAAAAGGGAAAAGAGGATCTCTATTTCACTTTTGTAAACCTTGACAGATCTATATTAATCCCACTGCATGCATGTCTATTGAACCTATGACATTTAGTGAAACCTATATCTTCATACAACTGATCAGCCTCATGGAGCATGTTTAAGGAAGCTATAAGAGAAAATTATATTAGTATCTATTTTTGGCATTAATATTAAAAAAAAAGGTTGTTGGGTCCCACAACTGTCTTTTCGGCATTTTTGAAAAGTTCATCATTATATTATTTTGAAAAGTTTTAACCATGTAATATTTAGTCTATTGAAACTATGGCATTTTTGAAAAGTTTGCTCAGGTTTGTCGTACCCTTTTTTTCAAAATGCTTTTATTATCCTTTCTGTGGTTTCTTGTATATCAAAATTATTGAAATGCAACTATTTTGTTATCTCAAGTCAATATCTTTTCAAATTATGCAGAGAAAACATACGTGAAATGGGTTCTCAAGGTATTAAGTCTCCATGGATCAAGGGCTCCCCTACCATTTGTTAAATCAGTTGAGGTAGTGGATTGTTTTTGTTTCTTTCTTTTACCAGAATTAAGAGAGGCTTCCATTTTTATCTTTTGTATGTGAAATAAACTATAGCTGTCTTTTCATTGTCTTCTGCTCTGGTTGGTAAGTTACTAAATCATTCATTCATTTAAAAAATTGTTCATGGCATTTATTATTTGTTCCTTAAGCTGGAGAAAGGATATGGTGTAATAATAAATCGATTTTATTAGTATATCTCAATATGTTTCCAATTGTACTTGGGGGCAGAACCAACTCTATTTTGCAGGGTGGGTAAAAATTTAAATATTATATATATACATATATATATATATATATATATATGTATAGATAGATAGATAGGCAGATAGATAGATATAAATAAGAAGTTAAGTTGGGCATCTTTTAGTGAAAAGTGGGCAAAATTATAAATTTAGTGTGGGTAAATATCTACTAATTAATATTTTATTGAAGGAATAAAAAATTTGAGGATGGGCAAATTTTAGGGGGTGCCTTGCCCACCCTAACGCCAAGGTGCTTCCTCCTCTGATTGTACTTTTTAGGTTGACAAAAGCCTCATGACATCTACATTTAACTTCTTACGTCTGTTATGACCTACAATTCTTTTATCATTTTGTTCTGCAGAAATTTCTCATCTTTTCATATTTTAATTTGACTCTTGGTTTTAGGAAGTTGGATAACATATCTAAATGCTTATATTTTTTTCGTTTCTCGTCCCTTCCTTCTACCTTTTGAAGGTACCTACAATGCTTAGGAATAAAACTAATTCTTGAAACCTTTATTCATGTGTTTGAAATTTGGATTCATACTATTTTTAATTGGCCTGCGTCTGCATCTCCTTTATGTATATGACTCTAGGTTATGCGGCTCAGTTTCTTAACTGCATATTAGTCCTGGTTCATTTGTGCCAAATTTATAGTTTTACTTAAATTTGCTTAAGCTTTAATTAAATCTCTTCTTAACTATGATTCTTGTTAATTTCTGCTGGGATAGGTTTCTTTTCCTGAAAGGCCTGACATGAAAACTGCATTCCTAACTAAGCAGCCTTTTGTTTTGAAAAGGTATTTGTCACTTCTATTTGGTGCACGAAAAATATTTACTCTCTTTGATGAATTTTCATGAATCTTCTCATTCCAAATTTTCTTCTGAATCAAAATTTTGCAGAGAAACTGTGAGGAAAAGACCTTTTATGATGTCTCTGAAGTTCAATTTTATTGATGGTTGTCGCTGTTCATTCACTACAGTGTTCTGGAGGGTCAATTTTCAGGTGAGTAAATGCAGGTATTTATTTCTTGGGGCATTTACATACGTGACACTTAATTCTTATGTATTTACATATCTGGCACTTAAACTTTATTTTTTAGAAGTTTATGCAACCCCAATTTTTCGCATCACATGAAAAATATCACTATTTTAAGTTTTAATAAGTGAAATAGAAGTTCTCATGTATAGTTAAGGTGCATATATGTATCAATTGAAGGTGTTACGTATGTAAATACATAGGAATTAAGTGATGTATGTAAAATCTTCCATGTTACTTTGTCTGCAACATGGAAGAAGCTTTTGTGTTGTCCTAATTTTCCTCATTTTTGTTGGTTGCCATGATTCAGGTTAAACTGAACAGCTTCATCCAAGATAAGAATCAGGTTCTGAAGAAACTAAGGGATGATGCAGATCAAGAATCTGAGTGTGGACAGCAGGAAATCTTGGAGATGCAGATCCTTCCCAGGTCTGAATCCACCATTCATGCCTTCACCACAAATATCGTGCGGTATAACATTTTTGATGCTACCAAAGTAGAAGAAGCAATCTCTATCAGCGACTGCTCGAAAATTGATAGTTTTGAAGGGGATGAGAATGGAGATGAGAAGCCCTCAAAGCGAGCCAAGTGGTTCTGATCTATTATGGATTTTACAAATTTTTTTTTATAAATTTTTTGGGTCTTTGGGTGCTTTTATTTTGTATATGGTATGCATGTAGATTCTTGCTACTTTTTTTTTTACTTTTATTTTTCTTAAGATATGGAAGCCATCTGTGGAAGATATTTAGCATATTAGACATTGGATGGGTGAATTTTGTGAGTTTACACCCAAATCCATTGCCTTTCTGGTGAGAATATAGAGTTTATGGCACTCTTTACAAGTTGCAATTTGATATATATGTATCATCCATAGGATTGACCTTGGGTTTTGATTGCTCTCTCTCTCTCTCTCTCTCTCTCTCTACATATATATATATAT